GAGAGAGAGAGAGAGAGATTCATGTGGAGGAAATGTGTGAAAATGTGGAGCATTGAGAACAAGCGAGAGTGAACAGAGAATGATGAAGAAAAAAATACTGGCTCTCCCTCAGGTCTCATATTCGGTTGCTTGTCAAAATAGACTATGAAAGAAACATTTTTATGATATGCTATAATATGACTTTTTAATGACATACTATGACATTTATTATGACTTCTTATTGCATTCTATACTATGAAGTTTTTATGGCATACTATAATATGACATTTTTATAACATTTCATGACTATACAATGACTTTTTATCTTTTATAACATATTATACTGTAGTATTATTTATAACTTTTTTCAACATACTATACTATGACTTTTCTAACATTTCATGACTATACAATTACTTTTTAATGAAATAAAAAATTAACTCCCTTTTCATCAGCCTATACTATGACTTTTTTCGACATGCTATATAATGACTCTTTTCGACATACTATGACTTTTTATTTTACATACTATACGATGACTTTTTTGACTTTTCTCGACAACCTATAATATAAAGTTTTTTGACATACTACACTGACTTAACGAAAGTTCCGACAACCTATACTATGACTTTATGACTTATGTTTTACATACTTTACTATTACTTTTTTTTAAACTTTTTTTGACAACCTATATTATGACTTTTTTGGTTTTTTTCAACATACTATATATTTTTTTCGACCTACTATACTATGACTCTTTTTGACATACTATGACTTTTTTCAACAGACTATATTATGACTTTCTTTTACATACTATAATAAGACTTTTTAATGATTTTTTTATGGCATAATGTACTATGACTTTCTAAGCAACACTTTTATCACATGCTGTAATACGGCATTTTTATGGCATATTATACTATGACTTTTTTAGAGACATTTTCATGACATACTATACTACAACATTTTTTATAACTATTTTATGAGATTTTTTATGGCAGATTGTTCTATAATATAATTGAGACATTTCAATGGCATACTTCAGTATGGATTTTCCTTTACCTTTCACTGTGACCTTGTGCTCTCCAGTGTTGGGATGAGTGAAAATCTCCACATGGATGGACACCTCTCCCACGGCATCGTCCACACCAGAGCCTGAGAGGACCGGCAGAGAGAGGGGATCGTTAACTCCTTTAAACGTGGAAACATGGACTCTTGGTGCTCCTATCACAGACCAAACACTCACACAAACCACTGGGCCCAAATTAATCCTCCTCATTTTGAAAGGTTACAGACCAATTCCATTTCAAATTTCTAAAGAGAACATTGAAATGGATTTGACTGTAACCTTTTGGATATTACACAGAATATTGACTGGGCAAACGGGTCCATATACTAAACCAATCACTGTGTAACAGGAGGGCTTAAAATGAGGCATCGTGATCTGCTTGTGCATATGTTGTGGTCTGGAAGTGGACAATCAGACAGAGCTGCTATGAGTGGGCATACCTTTTTAATATAGATAGTAATACCATTCTCTGTAATGCAGGACAACTATAATACATTAACTCATGGAATACATTCTGCCTTACAATTCAACAATTGAGAGGTAATAATTTGGATTCAGTGAGGACAGTAATTTGTGCCCACTCATAGACGCAAGTTGTCTGTTAGGATGCAGGGTGGTTAGTAAGAGGCTGAGAAGAAGACAGGAGAGAAGCTGGAGAAGGTCAACTGAAAGTGTGGTACCCCCGACATAGATCAGGTCAAGACATGCTCAGATGGATCTAGACAGGTGGACACACCCATTCCTTGGTAAAGACTTTTACCCAAGCATGGCAAGAGGAGGGACAAGAAAGGGAAAGGACTTTACGGAGCGAGAAGCAGCTCAGCCTCTCTGATCTGATAGTGAAGGACGGCACTACTGATACCCAACCCTCTCAGTAAAGCTGTGTGAAGAGAGTCTGAAGGACTCAAATTCAAGTCAAGTTTCACATCCATACTTCTTGAACTCCATTAAACTAATGTTGTCATTACGTTTCTCCACAGTGTAGTTTCCATCTACCCTATACATTGGACATTATTGCATGACTGCGAGACCTCGAAGTGAAATTTAAGCAAGAATAGTTGAATGCAGTACTGGTTGTAAAGCCCTATGACGCAAATATGTGATTTGTGATTTTTGGCTAATCTAATGGTCTCAAATTGTACTTACAATAATCTTGTTAATTTAACTAGGATAGCAAATGATTAACACAAAATACCAAATAAATTTGTTTTGCTTCAATAGAACTTCTAGCTGTAAGCTGTATTTTAGAGTATAGAAGTGATGGCTCCACTCAGGCACCGACTCTTTTGTCTGGGAGGGAGATGATGGGCACATCTTTCCTCAGTGTCTGTGTGTGTGTGTTGTTTTGTGCTGCATGTGAACAAGTGGTTGAGATCCACATACAACTCCAGAAGGATACGGCGACAGATGGACATACATTTTCAGTGTTTTAATTAATGTCTTCACTTTGTCAACGGTAGCTTTGTAGCGACAAACAGCAGCCTGTTTGTGTGTTTTCAACCAGCCGCCCACGAAACAAGGTGTCCGTGGGAGTTAGATGGCAGAGTGTTCCTGGCATGCAGCTCTCCAGGGAGCATTATGGGATTTGTTGGTCTCGCTGCCAACAGGACCAAAGAGAGCAGCAGTCATCCATCTGGCCTGGTCTACTCTATGGAGGTTTTCCATAAAAGATGAGAAACAAACTTTGCTGGCTGGGAGGCAGGAAGATGTTGCCAAGAAAACGCAGGCTTTTCTTCTTCAATCGGTGCATATTTTTCTACCATATTGAAAGGTTTAACCAGAAGAGACATTAAATCTCAAACTTGTACTGTGGATAGCGTCGAAACACCTTGACCTTTCATTATTTCTATTACAAATAATGTAGCTCATAGCCTGCAGTGTGCAAGTAGCACAGTCATCACTGATCAGCAGCATGTGAGTTAATAAGAATAAAGTCTACTGAGCCTCGATCAGTCATCCTGCTCTAATCGTCTACTCTAATACGGTTGGAAATTGTTCTTTCCAGTGAAAGCCACTTGCTTGGCAGGAAGTTAATTTGCATCCTTGTTACAGTCAACAGCATCCAGCAGCTGGCGGGCAGGCTGAAGACACACTATGGGACTGTGATAATGAATACCTAACTGTGAAATGTAACCACTAACGAAAACTTCATGCTGAAATATAAATACCAATGAGTGGATAGCGCTGAAATATTTCACTTTGAAAACCATCTGTCTAAATTTGTGTGGCGTCTTTGATATTTCCAGAAGGTCATTTAAAGTTGTGCAATAAAAAAAACTAAATTTAAAGATTCTTTTACGGATCACAAATTCTAATAGAAAATCCAATCGTCAAAATAAGAGCCGACTTGCTTAAATTCATAACTTTTGACTCTAAAAAGTCAACAACAAAAAAATCAAGTAGCTCATTCTGAATTGGTAAAATTGAGAAGTCGCAATGGAATAGACTTCAGGCCAATCAGGTTGTGTTCTGTCAGTCATGTGATCAAAGATAGAGGAGCTCAGATATGCCACTGAAAACCCGTGAATGACTTGAATTTGTAAAAAAGAAAAGTTTTTGAAATTGCAAAATGAAATGACCTACTGGAAATTTTAGATGGGACAATTTGGACCACATAAAATCAATGCTGTCCAATCAGTTTTTTTTTTTTAGTTCCGACATGAAGTATTTGGTTTCGTGCTTATACTGCTTCTATACGTTTCTCCTTGGCTTCTGTCCATAGACCACTGTTGTTCATCAAGAGGACAGTCAGTGTGCTGGAGCTTGTGCAGCATCAAATGAAGTCATCCTGTGTAAGTGCTTGTGAGCAAGTGTCACATCTTTGGATACTAATCTAGAGTGACAGAAATCAGACCACCTGACCTGAGCTGTTTCTGATTGGCTCAATCTGTGGAGGGGGGGGGTGGGAGTTGAGCACCCTCTCTCATCACTGCTGTAGGGCGAGCCGCGCTGCACGTGGGAGCTATGTGTGTGTTTGAATGTGTCAGTCTCTGTATTTCTGTGTGATGATAGAGCAGGCGAGGACAGGGAGCCCTCCCAGACAAAACTGAACAGCCATCATCGTTCTACGTAATCATTCTAGTCTTCTTCTTCAGCGTCTTTCACTTCAAACACAGTGGCAGGGGTGGTGACGTGGGGGGTGGGGGGGAGGATTTCCTCTCTGTCTTCCTCACCGGAGACAGACAATACACTGTGCTTCTGCTTCAACAACCTTAAAGACAGTCTCACTCAGTCACATTGGCTCTGCTCAGTCACTCGCTCTTCCTCTCGCCCACGTGTACACACACACACACACACACACACACACACACACACACACACACACACACACACACACACACACACACACACTTACTGGGCCCTCGGGCTTCTCTGGGTGACATCATGCTGGATCAGGATTCCTCCACACTTTAATGCATTTCTATTCTTTTTGTCTGATGTCAGCACATCATGCTTTAGTGTCTGTTCATACATACAGTCCATGGCGTATGTATTCAGTGCAGTTCCGTACATACAGGCATCAGTGTGTACATTACATGCATGAATGCATAAAGTCTATGTTGTTATAGTTGCGGTGGGCATGTATGCGTATGCGTGTGTAAAAAGGCAGAGATAGAAAAGGATGTTCAATCTGTGCATTGCATTTGTTTGTTGGGATGAGTTTGAGCAGGCAGGGGAGTTTGCAGGGGAGTTTTGGGATGCACATGGGGTGGGGTGGAGGGAGTTGGGCTTTGGTCTGGAGGCTTTCCGGTAGCCCTGGATGTCTCAGGCCCTGAGCCTGAATGCCACATACCCTTGTCTGGGTAAACATCCTCACTAGTGGTGAACCTCACCCCCTTCCCGCCGAACACTGGCCCACAGACGGGGCAGAAGGAGGAGGTAGACAGAGAAAGGAGAAACACGTAGAAATATGAAGTTTACAGAGTAGAAAAACAGACCAACATTTATAAGTCTTGTCCCTAAAGATGGGAGAGATCCTGATCGATACATTGTTATTTTAATCAAATCAGCTTGTTGTAATTCTTCAGATCTGCTGTGAAATCCTGCAACATGTCAAATCACACACAGATCTTCTGCTGCAAACCGGACCTAGGTATGCTCCAAAAACAACAACATGGCATTTTTGCTAATTAAATTCTAAATGATCATGGCATTTCTACCAGCGGCGCCCAGGGACAGCGTGTCAGCCATCAGCGCTTCCACAAAGACGATGGCTGTTATGAAGCCATCTGACGGTAGGACGGAAGCTGAGCAACAGAATCAAAGAGCGAGAGAAAAGAGGGGGCGGGCATTTATTTTTCATTGCAAATAGCTGTCAGATCATGTAAAGAATAGTCTGTGTGTTTCCCGAGGCTGGCTTCCAGGAGACTCCGAATTTCAGAGCAGAGAGAAAATATATTATGCAGCTACAGCCTCGACTTCATGCTCTACAAAGCATGGGAGACACTTTCAGGATATAGAGCTCAACATTTGGGAAACCCTAATATCAACAGAGGAGTGGGAGACACCGAGAAGGGTGGCTCCTCTGAGAGGGGAGAGTAGAAACAGAGATATGCTGATCTCAATAACAGAATGAAGTAGCGTTAGACATTAACTTCACACTTGGAAAATGAAGGTATACTGGAAATGAAGAGAATTGTCCCAAAGACAATTATTTTACCTTGTGCATTCTGTGACTGGACAAAAGTGCGAATGAGTTTGTCTGTCGCCTGCGTGTAGAGGGACAGGGCGTAGTGGAGAGACAGGAGGTCAGGACTCTTCTCCAGGAAAGTCTTCTTCAGACCCACACCACCAGCATGGAAATATTGCTAACACACACAAAGACAGGCAGACAAAGTAGACGACAGCTGTTAACTTACTTATTCGCTGCAAAAGATTCTTTAAGTAGAGAAGGCACTTTACTTGTTCAACTGAGAAAAAAGGATTCAAAATGTTTACAAAATAATTTAGAGCTGCAACAATTAATCTATTGATAATAATAATAATATCAACCTATACTTATATAGCACTTTTATGAAAACAATGTCAACAATGCAAAACCCAAAAGAAACAATAAAATAGGAATAAAAGTCTTTATGTCACCAGCTACAACCAATCACACCACCAAACAGAGGTACAATTAAGAACAGGTCAAAACTTTAGCAAACTTAAAGGTGGATAGGGAGTGATTCACAAAAAAGTCTGTTTGTGTTTTAGAAAAGTTCTAAAAGATTAAACTAATTTTGGCAAACCTAATCTACTCAGGCAGTTTGTTCTAAAGTACAGTTGGTTATTCTGTTAGTCGATTGACAGGAAATGATTCAAAAACTATTTTGACAGTTGATTAATCCTTATTTTTCAAGCAAAAATGCTAACGTTAACGGATCTAGGCTCTACAGTGTGAGAATAAGCTCCTTTTTCTTGTATTATAGCAAAATTACAAGTCTTAGGTTTTGTGATGGGCATTTTTCTCATGTCTTATAGCCAGATGCTACATTTAAAAAAGTTGTGGAATACTTGTTGAAACATTAAACCTGCCTGCAAACTTTAAAAGTGATGATGGTTTCTGTCTCTGTAGAATGAGTTGCTACAAATTGTGGATCCACCACCAACAGCTTGCATTAATTAAATATGTACATAATCTCTGGCATGTTACAGGGCCTCTCTCCAGCTCCACATCGTCTGAATCATTTCTGTGCCCCTGCTCTACGGATGTTCCAGTTATCTTATGCAAGAGATGCTTTTGGAATGAAATGTCCATTTTAAATATGTCTTATTTCTCTTTTCTTAACCATCTCAGTAAACTTAAAATCCAGTGTAGCTTAATAGGTGTTAATTATAGAACTTAATGTTCTTTCTTTACCTACTTTAAAAAAAATGATTACGTCCCAGTTCAATCTCTGAGTTCTAAGCCTGTCTGGTACATTTTGTTCCACAGGTAAAAACAGCTCCAGAAAGGGAACATGCTCTCACCTGGAGGTCTGATTTCCGTGGTCACCATTGATTTTATTTGCATCTAATTGAAACAGCCATACTGTACATACAGTGATTTGTTATTTTGTTTCACGTTTTTTGTTGTTGTTAAAGTTCTTTGCCTAGTACATCACTCACATGCACATATAGCTATCGTACAAACATGACTCTCAATTAAGTTTTCTGTAACTTAAACAAATAAATCACAGAGCTGTAAAGCCCAAAAAGGGAACGCTCAAAGTCTTAAAGGTTGGACTATTATAAACCACATCCTTGGAGAAAACTTCAAATTCAAATATGACTTTTAAAACCAAAGGGTTTACTGTAATGTCCACTAGCCATACCTGTTTATTGTCAAACATTTAAGGTGGCTCCCGACAGTGAAAGACATTTAGCGAAGTGTTTTACCTTGATGGTGTCCAGGGCCAGCTCTATCACAGCACACTGCTTCGGGCTGAGCGCTTTGGCCTCCTCTCGAACCATGTGCTCCTGAAGATGACAACAATAGAAGCACAGACCAAAATGATGCGCCTGTCTGTTCATATCATGTGTCTCGTTTTTCTTGGCAATTAAGAGTCTTGATCTGAAGCACTGGTGTCAGGCCCAGAGCATAACGGTGTAAAAACATATTGTACCTTCAGCTTGGACAGCTGTCCCAGCTCCTTGGCAGCATTAAAGATGAGCTGAGTGCCCTGGAAAAGACAGCAGGACAGATGGAAGAACGGTAGAGAGGAGTATTGTTATTATCGGGACAATGCGGGGCAGCAGTAAACGGCTTAGTGTCACACAGAGGACAGCAACGTTTCCGACACACACATTCACAAACAGTCACTCTAAGCCGCTTTATAGATATAAGGTGCTTTCTCCTTCAAATGCTGTTATCACACTTATCTGTGTTTTATTCATTCCAGAACATTACACTCCGCTGAACAAATCAACACACACAACACACACACACACACACACACACACACACACACACACACTGAGACATGTCAGTACAAAGAGAAGGGAAAGTGGCTCAGCTCGTAGTTAGGGCAAGAAAGAAGACACACTTGTGCACTAATGTACGCACAAGTGCACACACACACACATGTAGCAGCTATACAGTTGCACTGTGGGGTACGCAGGTATTTACTGGATGTCCAGCCTTATGCAATACTCTGGTGCGCGAATATATCACTAAGTGCTACTGATTGCACTTTTAATCCTATCCTTGGTTCCAGCCTTAGTCACGAAATAAGCTTTTGTTATATACTGTATGGGGCTAGAGACTAGAAATAATCTTACAAGCAACAGCACAATAATGTCAGAAACAAAACGTTATAGATTAATTAAAATGGAAAAATTAAACTAGTGTGCACTATTGAAACTGTGATGTGTCTATTCATTTAAACTGTTTTTACTTTAGATTCAGTCAGGCAAGCGAAGCCTGACAGGGTCATGTGAGAGAAATCCAGCCACCCTCCACTGCTACACTATGTTAAATCTACAGAAAATAAGGTAGATGGTTGAGCATTTTATTTCATGGGGCTACTGTGATGAAAATAGTTATGTTATGCCAAATATTCTCACCCTACGAGCACATTTTTGCTGCTAAAATGCACCATAAACTGCAGGTCAAAGTGCCAAACTTCACTTCCAGAATGAGGCTCGTAAAGCTTTGCAATGCAACTTGCAGCTGAACCACGGCATATTTCTTCTTCTGTGTTGCAGAAATGAACAAAACAGCTAATAGTTTTTGAACTCCAAGTGAAATTAAGTGACGATTAACCTCCTTGACTGGCAGTTTGTGGTGCGTTTGAGCCGCAAATATCTGCATGTCGATTTGAGTGTATAACCTACGGTTTGGCTGGGAGTGCAGGCAGCTACTGCTACAGCATTTCTCACAGCACATAAACAGCACTATAAAGGACCGTTGTGCAAAAACAAAAGTGAAAAATCAATATTTCCACTGCTTTGTTTGACTGGCGAGCTGAGGGAGATAGACGGAGACACGCAGAGAAGACAAGGAGAGAGACAAGACACATTGATCTAAAGGGGTTTAGTCCTTACATCACTGTGAGACGCATTCTTCAGTCTCCCCTGGAAAGAGAGCATGTGGTTAATACTTCAAGCAGTGGCCAGTCCCTGCAGTCTGACTTCACTCTCAATGGCTACATGAGAATAAGCCTTTTAAGTGCAAACGTGCAAAATGTTGAAAAAAAAAAAATGAGCATACTCGTCACTGCTGTAGATGTCATCTCCCTTCAGTTAGCTAATAAGCTTTACCGCCAAACCAACAAAATCAGACAACAGATTGCCGGTTGCCAGAGCAAGAAGAGCATACATGCTGACAGGAGTAAATGCATGCTGATAAAACAAAACATTTTGTCCACATTTGCCTTCTTATGCAGATTTAGATGAGAAGATATCTGTGCTAGCACAGAACTAGAGCAGGGAGGTGATTAGCTTATATTAGCATACAGACAGGAAACAAGGGGAAACAGCTAGCTTGGCTTTATCCACTCCCATCTCTCAGCTCACAAATAAACACATTATGTCTTGTTTGTTTAATCCTTACACAAACGGAGCGTAAAAGTGACAGGATGTGATTTTACATGTGCTGCAACTGTGTCACATGTAAGTGCGCCCCGCTGCTGCTGCTGCCGCCGCCAAGAAATAGTTAGTGCACGTAGCTCTCAATCCACAATAGTTCATTTAAACGTTCGAGTTTGTGTACAGAAAAAACGAATCAGATATAACATGTTAATTGGTGAGCATTAGAGGTGCTGGTAGTCGGATTTTTGAACTGGAGAAAGCCCGGCTAGCTGTTTCCCCTCCACTACCAGTCTTTAAATTAAGCTAATTAACTCCTGCCGCTCGCTCTCTACTGAAAGCATAGATATGATAATCTCAAACTTAAGAACTTGAACTTAAAAAGATTTACACTCAAACAATCTTCGTATCTAACTTTTGACAAGAAAGCAAATAAGTGTAGTTCCCCAAAAGTTTATCCCTTTAAAAGAAGATCAGATAAAACTCAGCAGATTCAATACATTACGGCTCTATGTGATAACTCATTCATTGAACTGTTGCACTCAGTGGTGAAATGTGCATTTACTCAATAAGCCTACAACAGTGGCAGGTAACACAATTGGTGATTGAGCCTATGGCCTAATAATGACAGTATTGCAATATTTATATATTTGCAGTATTAAGAACTAGGTAGTTAATTTTTTCTCCCCTGTATAGACACAAACATTTAACTATACACACAATTCTGATAAATGTAAGCTCATGCATCAATGTAAAGTCTCCAGACTTTTGATCTCAAAGCACAATTCTGTTCTCACACAATTAGAAATTCTAAATCAATCAGAAGTACAGCAGTATTTACGGGAATGCCAACACAGACGCCTGGTTTGTAATACTGAAAATATATAAAAATTCTAATATTGCAATACTTTTATCTGCGTGCGATATGCGCTAAAACTATTATGTTATCTCCTTCCGCAATGGATATTGACTTAACAGACATTTATTATTTATTTAAATGAAAATCTTTGAGATTACCACTTCAAATTTTGAGGTACGATATGATCAATGACATTTATTGTGTAGCATATATAATGCACATAATTATACCCAACAGTATATTAAATAATTAAAACCCTCAAGTGCCATTTTTCTGCCAAATATGTACTTTCACTTTTGATACTTTAAGTACATTTTACTTATAATACTTACGTACTTTTACTTATATAACATTTTCAGAACAGGAATTTGACACATAATGGATTATTTCCACATTCCTTATTTGTGGAGTTCCTTTTTACTGAAGTTAAGGAACTGAATACTTCCTTCACCACTGGTTACACTTGAAGGTTAACAATAAATAAGAGCTGCAGATCACGTTTACCAAGAAACACACATCAATTCTGTTCATTAGAAAACACATCACTTCCTGTGCAGCATTATCAACTACACCATGGAAAAGACGAGTCAAAGACATTAAGAGTCAAACTGATAAAGTCTCGTTAGAAAAGTCGTTCTGTGCATCAAGACCAGTGACAATACCAGCATCACAATCATCATGGTAACAACAGAACATAAAATCAAACCAGGACAGACCAACACGACAGGTCTGCAGAGACATAAAGTACAGTGTTGTACAGTATACTGAGTGAAGACTGCAGTGTTGAAATAGATCAGATGCAAGCAACAAACCCACAGTGGGCGGTGGAGGGGGACACAGTTCAAACAGGTGGGAAAGGTGGGGACAGTGGAGGGAGGGAGAGGGGCGTGGGGTGGGGGTGGGGGTGGGTCAGGACACCAGATACCAAGCCACCGAGAGATCAGAGTCACCCCACCAGAGTCCCAGTATAAGGAAACAATGCATGAGAAGAAACAAGGCAACACCAGGCGCAAGAGAGGAGTACCACTTCCTGTTTTAAGGAGAGTGTTCGGGAAGAAGAGACAGCAGAAGAGGGGGGCACTGATTGGTGGAGACTTTTGAAAGGGTTGTGGGACCTATCAGAACCAGTCAGGAATGCACCATGCTTCTGTCTTCTCGAAAGAGAGACAGTGTTGGAGGAGAGGAGAAGAAGAAGAAGGTGAAGAGAAGAGGAGGGTGAAGTAGGAGAAGAAGAGGAGGAAAAAGAGAAGAAGAAGAGAAGAGAAAGAAGAGAAGAATGTGAAAAAGAAGGAGAAGAAGAAGACAAATAGGAAGGAGGAGGAGGAGAAAAAGAACAAGAAGAACAAGAAGAAGAAAAAGAGAAGAAGAAGAGACAGATTGGGACAGATCTGAGAGGTGAGAAGGGAGAGGGTGTGATGTGGGGTTAAAAAACAGGGGAAGATCGCAGCCACATATAGCAAAGAACCAACCACCGTGGACGGACAGACAGACACACACTCAGGAGTGCTGTACTTACAATCATCTGTGGAGGGAGAGCGGTGGGAGCAGGATGTAATAGTAATCACAACAACAACCAGAGAGAAGGGTCAGTCAAGCTGCAAAGAGCCCCACATCAATAAAAAAAATAAAATACAAGTTTGGGCCTGAGGGCTGGAAGGACGTGGACCAATTGTCATGTCTAAAGCCTGGACTATGTACAGGTAGAGAAGTGAGAGAGGCCAGTGGTTAAGTAATTTTACTCCTATGAAATTTCTTAGAATAGAGCAAATAAGTGTTTTAGCTTTTAACAGCAACTTCACTTGCAAAAATAGCCATTCTAGAGATGATCATGTGGTATTTGCACACATGCAGAACTCACTATCTTCTCCTGTTTTTGTTCCTCCCTCTTTTCCCTAATTGGATTAACTCAATTGGACAGGGGCTAACTGCAGACCAATGGCTACTGAGGCTGAACCAGTTGTGTTGATAACTGGCTAGCACAGAACATGGTAACCAAAGATTAATTATCACCTTATTAAAAGTGATATGAGGCTCTTTAGTTCATAACCAAACACAAATAAGAACACATATATCCAAAACAAAAGAAAACAAGAGGCTGCTTTCCAAAATGTATGATTCCTTTTTTTTTTGGAAGTGGGCCGGATCCTTTGGGCAAATATTTTCTGCCACTTTGTTATGAGTTACTCATAAATCAGAAATCTCTCCAGATAATTGCTGGCTGACATACTGGAGAGCAGCCATGAGCTGGTGTAAGAATGATATGGTGCACTCCTTTTCTCTTTTCAGCTTTTTTTTTTTTTTTTTTTTCTTGAAAGGGAAGGGTCTCATCTCGGTTGTTTGGATGAACTGGGGCGATGCTAAATATAATGTGTGGATAGAATGCCATATAGAAATTGATCTTTTATAAGAGGGCCATCTTGAATCGCAACACACGCACAAAATGTCTGCCTTTCATATTCTCCACCTCCTCCTCCTCCTCCTCCTCCTTTTGATGCCGCCTCAGCAGTTGGAGGTGTGTGTAAGTGTGTATCCTTGCATGTGTGTTACATGTATTGCCTTGATCATCATAAGATCTTATATATCTCCGTAGCAACATCCACACTTGCATATATGTGTATATTTATCCACAGCAGGCACAGTCAGCATCGAGTGCCAACGTGTGCAGCTTAGCATCATTACTGTGTGTATTTGTACGGCTGTATGCCTCTGAATGCATGCTCATACGTCTGTGCACTCTCACCGTTTGATCTGTGAGCGGCGGCAGAACGATGGTCTTCTCCATGGTGTTCATCACCAGCTTCCACAGCTCCTTCAACACACGTTTCAGCACGGTCTTCTCACAGATCTTAGCAAACAAAGTCAAGCTGGCAGGAGGTGGGGGAGACAGAAGACAGGAAGGAGTGGTGATTAATAAGCAGCAGAAAGGAGGCAAGCGCTTTTTTTCATGGAAAAAAGAAATGATGATCAAGAACAAAGAACAAAAAAAAGTCTTTTAGGGAATTTCTTTTCTGCTTCTACTCACCTAGAGTCAGGCATGCTCACGGATGCCTTTTGTAGTCAATCTTATGTCTCGGTGAGCAATTTCAGTGATAATATTAGTTTGGCACAATCCATAACATGACTATGGAATCAAGTAGGAATTTCTCTCAAAAGTAGCGAAACTACATAAAAATAACAAACTTGTGTGTGTGGATTGCTGTTATAACTCCTCCTGGGCTGCATCTTAGCTTCACCGACATCTACAGCTTCACCTAAACTATGATGACCATTCAACAAACCTTCAAATTGCATTCAGAGACAAAAACAAGCATCTGTGAGTTTCTAGGTAAAAAAATAATGAAATGCTCTCAAAGCTAAACTATCCCCTTCAGAGGACTCCACTAAAATGGCCTCACTTGCTGTCCAGGAACTCCATGATGGGCTGCAGGACGTTGTCAGCATCCTGGGCAACGCTGCTGGCATTTCCCACATTTGAGGTTCCCTTCACCTGAGCCAAGATGTCTCCCATCTGCTTCACGTTCTCCTCTATGTGAGGCTGGAAACTACAGGGGAGAAGCAGAAGAGGCTTTTAACAAAGTCTGCACTGTGTCTGTCGGTCTGTCTGAATATACATCACCTGAATGTGATCTTATGTAAGAATGACTTTGTGTGTGAGTGTGTTTCTACCTGACAGAAAAGATCCTGCTGAGATCATCCATGACATTGTTGAGCTTAATCTGCAGGTCTTTCAGGATGTCGCTGGCCTCCACACACAGCTAAAGTACGCACATGGAAACACACACACAGAACTGGTTGGAGTGACTGGGCAGTAGGGTGGGCAGTAATAATGACAAAGCACATTTGGATTAAAGCTTGGGATTGTGATCCCAATGCCGTTATATAGTTTCAGTTCTTTGAGAACATTTCGGTGTGTTTTCTTTGCAAACTCCAGCTAAATTTCGGTGACATTTTCAGAGATGGAGAGAAACTGTGGCAAATAGTTTGGCCTTTTGCGAACTGTTAGGCTAAACTGTTGCTAATAGTTTAGCCTTCTCAAACCTTAGCCAGGAGCAGAAGGCTAAACTATAAGCAACATTTTCAGTTAATCAATTTTGTCAGACACTCTTTTTGATAAGTCTGAGGCACCAAAGGGACATACAAGCGCATCTGTATAACAGCCAATAGGAAGGCCCTTTCTCTGAACTGACCTGTGATTGGCCAAAGTCTACCATCACAATCTAGATTTTCTTATACCTGAAAGAAGGGCCAAGAGGAGTAGGTATAGTTTTCTCCCCGAGGCATACTGAATCACAGTATGCTGAAAGGTTATGACGACATTTTTGCCCATTTGACGCCAAAAATAAACTGCAAGTCCCAGCTTTAAGAAGCTTGTACTAGGCAACTGTAACCAAATACTAACATACGCACACAACTAAGCTGGTGAATAACACCGGTTGGGAGTTGAAACTCGAGACAGGACCAAGAAAAGAGAATCACTCACATCTTTTCCACCCATGGCTTCAAACATCTTCTCCAGCTGAACTCTCAGCTGCTGGATGTTGTTGATCAGGATGCAGGGCTGAGGATAGAAAGACGAATGGATCAGCCTTCTTATTGGTATAGGATTCAAAGAAACATTTCTTACAGCAACCATGAATATACTCCAATGTACTTTTTGATTAGAATTGACAGAGCTGAGTCCACTTTGAAAATCCACACAGGTTCATCAAGTCTTTCGTCACTTACCACTTTCTCCATGGTGACATAGTTGGCAAACAACTTGGATATGATATCAGCATAGGAAAGAAGCACATTGCTGATGGTCTGGAGAGAGAAACAAGAACGATCAGCAGGTCATTAATCATCACGCTGTAGTGAAAACTACTTTTAAAGATTTGGCAAGGTGTGATTTGACTGCAAATTGAACTGAATCTACCTTAGCAAATCGCTTCATGTAGTGTCCTACGATCTGCGGATCAGGACACTCGAGCTTCCTGATGATCTCAAAGCTCTGGTTGAGCTGGGAAAACACATCCACCACCGAACAGGAGAACAGAGCATGTTCTGATGTGACCTGGAACTGCAGGGCAGAAAGGGTGTGCAAGGAGATTAAAAAGTGGGATGATGCGTAAGTGATTAGGGATGAGTAGGAGTAGCAGGTGAGAAGCGAGCAAGATGGGACCTCTGGGCACTGAAGATCATACAGACGGACCATTAGATGCTATTTTAAACTGAACCTTTGATATCTTTGCCCACATGTACTGCGCCTCAGACCCCCTACAGCCATAGACAGACATCCGGTGACAGTTGGGAGCTCCTGTCCGTCTTCATGTAATTGGCTGCTGGTTAGCACCTGGTCCCTAATTGGCTAGAGGTGAGTGTGTTTGTGCTCCTCTGGGGAGTCTGGGTAATGACGTGAAGACAGCTTTCCTCCAGTCAAAACTATGGAATAAGGCCATTAATTCACACTGTCCTGCTGTCACAGAGATGTCTACCTCCTTGAGTACATGCACGGCTCAACCACGCTTCTTTGAACTTCCAAAGAGTACAACGAAGCACTTTGACTGAAACATCCTCTTAGCCCAAATACACTGTATGCCTTAATATCCACGTCTGTGCTGCCACGTCCATGCTTCTACTGTTGCCTTTGAAGAATGCAGGAGAGAAGTGTGGGATGCAGAGCGGGATGGAGGATACAACTTTGATTGATAACTTTGCGTGTGACAGAGGAAGTACAAAGGATGGATTACAGTAATTCTGCATGAACAACGGCGACTCAGCGCTTGCAGAGGAGTGAAAGGGAGATAAGGAGAAAAGGAGCAGGACATTTTTACCCCATCCTTTTTGTCTCTCTCCAAAGCACCGTGCAGAAAGTCCCGAGACACTTCCTCGTTTTCATCCAGCCACTGAATAACAAATGGTTCAAACCACCTATGGAGAGCAGAAAATATATACGCATCTACAAACTAGGAACCCAAAATAAGACAAGATGATAGCTTTTTTTTCTGTTTTCAGTGTAAGTTAGAGAGTTGCTACTCACGCAGGATATTCAGGCACTCTGCTCTTGAAGAAGGGCAGGTCTTTGCAGTACTCGTTGTACAGCCACTTAACCTTGAAGTGCAGGTTCATGTAATCTGCACTCTTGCACAAGCGATTTTTTTCATGTTCTGAAAGAAAAAAATAAAGTGGACAAATGCAAGTTGAGCAAATGTCTCTCCTGGCATTTAAGCTGTCTACCTGCAATTTCAACAGGTCTATTGTGCATTCAGTGGGATTGACCTACAGTCAAGCACACGTCGTCACGGACTTGATGAATATAATTAATGGTTTAATTACATAATCACATTTTGTGTAGCTGTCATAGCACAACTCAAGACTGAGATTATTAGGAGAGGACACCAATCACACCAATTTTATTCAAGAAATCAAATATTGATCAAACCCAAACACTGTGTATGACCTTTCAGGCTATGCATAATTGACAAACATTTCCAAAAGTTTGATCAAAACTAGAGATGCACCGACACCGATATTGGACATTGGTCAGATACTGACTCAAATAGCTGGATTTATATTTATGCCCATATTTGTCATACTTTACTTTACAAAGTTAGGACACCATGTTTAAGTCAAGTCTGATGGTGCCTTACACATAAAAGAATGATCCCAATCACTTCCACAGAGTGAGGCATACAGATTATTAATTCAAATCTGGTATCGGATCGGTACTCCGTATCGGCCGATATCCAAAGCTCAGTTATTGGTTTCAGGACTAAAATAGTCAGATTGCTACACCTCTAATAAAAAAAAAAACCCTGGTATGAGTGCAGGAGGAATACCAGGAACCTTTAACTAAATCAGACATATCCATCAAAAATGTGTTGGCTGTTTGCTTGGGCTAAAACAAAAGTCCTCCATATCTCAGATTTGTGTGTAAAGCTTAACAGATAAGGAGCATCATTAAGGTCAACAACTGTATCTCCTAATCCATTTGACCGATTTCCACTAATGCTAAGTCTTCCAATACTTTCATTTGGTGTGGCTTACCACATATTGGAATGTACATTTACTTAAAATCGTAATCGTAATCTTAATCTATCATTGACTTGCACTCACCCTCCATTGCATACTTCATATCCTGAGCAAACAGGTTCCACATCACTTCAGCGCTGATTTTACCCACGTTGAGCTCCTGGGGAAATCTTGATGGAGGAGAGAAGGAGAAAGGCTTACTGTATTTGCAGTTAGCGAGGGAAGGTATATGAAATTGAGAGAGCAGATAAGAGACGAAAAAGAAAAACAAACTGTGGAGAAGAGATGGGGAAGGAAATGGGATCAAATACATAGAAGAGGAGTAAAGAGACTCACTGGTTTAGGCAGGGAGTGTAGGAGTTCTTGTCCTCCTCGATAATGGAGACGATAAGTGTGATGAGTTTGGACCAAAAATCCAGATTTTTGATGCAGGGTCCCTGCTCCTCCGGAGGCACGACGCCCGGTTTGGCCTGGAAAAGCAGTGACACAACTAGAGTCACAAAGAAACCTACATATACTCTTTGGGTTGATATTAGCTTGATGACTTTGTTCAGTATGTGATGAGAGGATCAGCATCTCTGGCAACAACTGCCAACCTGAAGAGTCTGTAAACAATTGTACTCTGCTCAATCACTAAGATTTTAAAGCCTGTTTAAAACAATTTTCTTATCATCATTAAACAAATTTTAGGCCATACTGAACACGCCAAAACCTCTTCACACATGCTGGATAAGACATCCAATGGGCCAATCTTCCAAAAAGTAGTGTAGTTATGTAATTGTTATCACTCTCAATTTGAATTGTACTAATGTTATTTCTTATTGTCCGAGACTGAGAGACTTTTTTGGAGGGGAATTCTTGACGGTGTTCTTATTTGTTTTGCTGTTCAAACAGCTTTGAACAGACTCAGAATGTCAACTGTCTGGAAGAGTTCTTTGAAATAGCTGAAGAAAAAAAACAACTAAGCCTGAGCACTGCAGGGGTTGAAGAGTGAAGAATGACCTTGCAGAGATTTCAACAAAATAGAGCAACGTCCCTCAGGATAAAATGTTTTATTCAAAGGGAAAAATGCTTATTTGAAATTCACGAGGGAGTCTGACTGGAGTTGCCGCTTTAATGAGGACTTAAAGCAAGTTCTAGAAATCCCTGTTGAAATCCGATGCAGGAGTGATGGATGGGAGAGCCTGGCCTACCTCGACTAAGAGGATGACGGAGACTCACCACACACAGACGCACTGAGCAAAATACAGACATCAAGCAAAGGAGTTTCACTTCCAGGAACATTTTTAAGCCAAGTGGTCTGATTAGTCCAAGAAACCTCTCTTTGTAACAGTTATTTATGAAGAAAACTGCAGGCCAAGATTTGAATGATTAATACGGCCAACTCTTTCAGTCAGTCCGGAGTCAGGCAGTGACTTATCCTGCTTGTTTCTTCTGAGAGAGGGAACCAAATCACAGCCAAAGAAAAAGAAATGTACATCAATCATTGGACATCCACAACAAAAAATATCAAAGTCCGATACCGACGCACCCAAAACAATCTTTTCTGAAGACTATCCCTGTATTTTTCTTGTGTAAGTAAACCTCGTAATAAACTAAGTAAACCATTGGAAACATATTTCAGATTTTCACTAACACCTACAAATATTAAACTGCTGCTTCTTACCGGGTCTGTCTGATACTCGCGGCTGTACAGCTCATGACAGTTATTAAAGATGTACTCGTAGGTGGAGTTGAGGCAGGCTTTGACACAGTCCTTCACCACTTGACTGGCTCTGGGTGGAGACTGAAGCTCTTGGACCTGAAGAACAAAGTTAAAGTAGGCAAGTGAACTGAAATAAATTCACCAAATCATGGCATTTCAGAATTGTCCTCATGCTCATCTCGATTGCAAAGACAAATAAAAAATGATTCTTCTGAAAAAATCGAATTCTACAGTAGAAAGATGAACACCAAATAAATAATATTATAATATAATATAATATATTGAATTGTGCTTTTCAAATCAGAGTAAAGAGGAAACTGTTGATGAACTTCATTATGTATGTATTCTATATGTGTAACACACTGAGCTAAATGGCAGTCTGATGGGTAGGTGGGGTGGAGAAAATACAGGCGATAAAAAAGGCTTTGTCAAACGAAGACAAAAGAAGGGACGGTACCTTCATTCTGAAGAAGGTGATACTGGTGAGGAGGTCCACTGTGGACTTGAGGTCCTGCAGCCTCTCGGGACTGCTGGCAGGGAAGTTGTTCTGCAGTCAGACGAAGAAAAAACACAATACAGTGAGGCACAACACATGACTTCGTATCCATCCTTGTCCCCTGTGTGCTTGTGTGATCCGGCATAGGAAACACTTGTTACCGTGTGGGTGTGCAGTGTTTCCTGAATGTGTCTGTGCATGTTTTAGAGGAGCTGTCAGTCTCATTAACACATCCGCCTGCTTTGTCTCCCTGCTTCTCTCAAAGAGGAAAGGAGAAGCACAGTAGAGAGAAAGAGGGGAGGTGGGATGATGTTCTACCATGCAGTCTGACTATCCAGCCACCATCAGTTGTCATCTATTATATAAGCGTTTCACAGATAATATATGAGGGCGGAGAGCAATCTTACTCGGTACATGGACAGGTCGATCCTCAGAGAGTTGTGAAGCTGGTCTAGAAGCTTGACAAATCGCTCTTTCTGTGGGAACACAGATTTGAACATCACCAGACACACATCACTGCTTAACAGCACCAGGATAACAAATAACTTAATAAAAAAAAGAAATTGTGATTGCAAAAAAAAAAAAGACACCCTTCAGTTTTATACTTTTACTTTTAAGGACATTTTGAAATATTTTTTTCTTTAAGCGCTAATGTCGGAGCGAAAGAATATAACTGTTGCATTTAATGTGTCTGCCGTGACTCACCCCAAAGTTAGAAGCAGCAAAGCGGTCTGAGGCAGAGACGTTGTTAGTTGCCTGGGTGGTGTGAGCGTAGTAGGCATTGATGTTAGCCAGTAGGGTACTCATCACTGCAGGCACACCTGGGCACATGTACTTAGATGAAAGGCAGGCAAAGTGACTGTAAAAGAGGGAGAGACGTGTAAGCAAATACAGGATTAATGACATGAAAACAACCAGCAATGCACGCAAACACACAGCCTTCAATAAGGCTTTCAGACGGTCACATACGTCATGGCTTGGTAGATGGACTCCACTCCATAACGCATGGCAAACTCATCTACAATCTCCTGGGGAGTCTCCTCAAAGTAGACCTTCCATGCGTCATCCCCTTTGGCATCGGGGATCTTCACCACACCGTTGTTCTGGATATCTGTCACATAGTGGAAGAGGTTCTACACGGACGAAAATAGAAAGGAGTTAGAGGGAGAATTGAACGAGGTGTAGAGAAAAAAAGAAGAGTGAGAGAACATACAGAAGAGAAGGTAAAGAAAGGAACAAAATGGTCAGCATCCGCACATCTTGTTGTAATCAAAGTTTCTAGATGTTTCATTGTACAAAAACAGAGCCGATTACAAGATCTGTTAATCTTTAAATGGCTGTGCTCCACAACTAGCCAATAAACTACATTATGAGGCCAACACGAGGTGCTGTCTTGACTTCTGAGTCGGCTACGTGGTTTATGGTCACTTATGTGCAGCAATAACAGTGGACATTTGTCTGTTGAGCTTCAGCTAATATGCTCTGTTTAGTAATGGGCTGCCTAATGACTCCATACAAGGCTGTGATTGGTCTACAATCAATCAGCAGAGTCTTCTGTTTTATGGGTGCAAAGCAAACTTCACATTAACTTGAGTTTGATTTGGAACGGATCTGAACATTCAAGTAAATTAACCTGTTTGGCATGGTTCATAAGGATGACTTTGCACAGAGATACTCACAGATGCACAGACAAAACACAGCTGTAGAAAAAGTACTATAAACCAATAAATCCAAAAAATATTCCAATTATTTTATTTAAATGCTCAATCTGCTATAAATGTGCAGCGTACGCATCGACATACAATGCAGAGACTCAAAAGGCATGGGCTGCATAATGTTGTCTGTGTTGTTATGCAGACCAATGAGCTGTAAAATGTACCTGTTCAAAGTTAATGTAGTGATTTAAAAATTACAATATTCCTAAATATCTAGTGGTGAAGGTACAGAGTCTCAAAAAAGGCACATATAAAACACCAGTACTTCAAAGCAGCATTTAAGTAGAGCTCTTTATGTATTCTATTACTTTCTACTACCTTCAAACACAGAACGCACAACACACTGAGCTTACTTCATGCAAACAGGTGTACTGAACGTGATAGGGGGCGACCGTCTCCTCTCCTTTGATCTCTACATTAATGTGCATGCGGATAGCTCCAGACACGGCGGATTTGTCTGTACGCTTGTCTGTGAAGAGCACAAGACATACAGCAACACAGTTACCGAACTGAAAACATCGGATTCAGAGAAGTTAGGTCACTCATACAACTGGAAGGTGAGGTGAACTGCTCATGGCAGTAAGAAGCAGTGGTATCAACACATGTCAATAGTCAACTGACCCAGATTGTACCAGACGTCCATCTCTCCGCTCAGAGTGCGGACCTCGATGATGGTTTGACCGAGGAAGTCGTCCGACTCCCGTTTGAACTTCTGCTTTACGCGAGACTTAATGTCGTCGTCCTCGTCCCACACTCGCACCTTGATGCGGTCTGAGGAGTTGTGACATTCACTAAAACAGACAGAGAGTACAGTAGTCACACTGACAGTTGGCCAAGAAAACCAGATGAATTATTATCATGATTCATGATTGATTAAACATCAAAAGTGTAAGCAAAAAAAACAAGCCTTAAACAAATATGTTGAATTGAACAGAAAGCAGATAAAACATGTTTAACCGCAGCAGTTCGACAACTACAGCTCGAAGGATTCAGATGCATTGTGTGATTAAAGTTAGTGATAATAGTTCATGCCTTGTGTGGATCCTATGTGTGACTGATGCAAGAAAACACCAGCCACCATTTCAAATATGTTTTAGCCAAAACTAAATAGTTTCTGGAAATTAGTATTTATACTGATTAAATAGAAGGACAAATGTCCTCCAACCTTTAAGCTACGCATCTTGGGCTCTTAGAAACAATGATCAGGATTTTCTACTACTATATGACATTTTTTTGGATGAAATCTTAAATAGCTGGAAAAAGAAAACAAACTACATAATAACTGGTAATGAAAAAAAACATTATTTGCAGACTTAGCTCTTCCAAATGTCACATGTGTTTCCAAGAGTTCCTGACTCACAAGTTAAACGTCTCCTCCCAGACAGGGTTGAGGTTGCCGTAGATGGTCTTGGTCCTCTTTTTTGTCTTTCCCACCTGGACGGTGACATAAGGATCACTGGACCCGGTTTTATCCTTGGCTTGTAGACCCTGGGCACACAACACTAGGAAGAAGAAAAAAGGCTAGTCAGCCACTGTGTGAGTGTATGTGTGTGTTTGGATGCAAACAGATGTCTGTTAAATCGTCCAACCTTCTACTCTACTGCCCCACAAACGCCACCTGTGCTCTCTTCCTACAAACGCCAGCTTGCCTCTTTTTATAGACACAAACACCCGACACGTGCTGTCCCTTCTGACTTTGATGTTGACAGTGTTGGCCAGCTCTGTTCAAAGCTACAGTACTGCACGAATTTGACTCCACTCTCACCTGTGATGCAGATCTTGGCCGACCATTTAGAGGTGCCGTCGAGCACGCTCTGTTTGATCTGCTTCATGTGGGTGACGTGGGTGGACTTGGGGGCGGCGAACACCTCCTGGATGAGTTCGAAAATCTCTGGTTTGTTCCTCTCGCGGATCTTCATGCGGTCTTTAAGAACCATGATGATGTTCTGGGTTCGGTCCTCCGCGCCATGTTTGGAGCTCTTCTCTGCGGCTCCTGGTTAGCGTGAAAATTAAGATGAGAAAGAAAAGGATTAGACTTGTATAAAGTATATTGTATAAGTATAAGTAAATTGGAGGATACATTTCTACAAATTACAGGAAAATTTGAAACTGAGATTTCAATTTAGAATACAGAGCAGATAAGAAGACTGCGTAGGTGATGAAAAACTTGGCTATATCTCATGAATGAGAGGCGGGCACACTTGCAGAGCTCTGAAATGCTGAGTAAAAGAGAGACAGGAAAAAGAGGCGGATGACAACAAAAGACAAATGGCTTTTAATATCCTCTCAAGAAAGCAAGGAAAATAACAAAGTAGGAGTGAGAGAAGTAGGAGGACGGTGTGCTTGGCATTGACAAATAGAGATGAGAGGAAATAGATGGACTAGAGAGTTTACTATCATTAATAACAGAAAACAGCAGCACTGTCAGCACAATACGTCTAAAACATAACGTCAGCAAATGGTTGTTCAGCTCCTGTAACTATTTCGTGCTATATGTTATCATCGTTTCACACTGAACACCATGTGAAAACAATGTTGCATCAAAGCTTTAGCTCTTATTTATCCCAGAATATTATTGACTGTGAAAAGTGAATCTTTGGCCAAGCTGTAAATTTACAATTACACATTTAAAGGAAAATTTAAAGGGGACATATCATGCTAATTTTAAGGTTGATAACTGTATTTGGGGTTTCTACTAGAGTATATGTAAATGCTTTAACGGTCAAAAAACACTTTATTTTTCTCATACTGTCTGTCTGAATATACCTGTATTCACCCTGTATTTTAGTGTCTGTCTCTTTAAGGCCCCAACCCCAAAAAAGACCAGTGTGCTCTGATTGGCTTTTGACAAAAATATGCCGCACCTCTGCAAAGGCAATACTCAGATGGGCGGCAGTATATTTTAATGGGACTGCATGTCACAAAGGAAGAGGAGCCAGATCTGAATGACTTGTTGAATTTGTGAGTTGTTTTTTTTCTTTAAAAAAACCCTGTAAGAAACATGTTTATTCACTTTCTTGCCAAGAGTTGCATGAGAAGATCTATACCACCGTCATATCTGTACTGTAAATATGAAGCTAACAAAATCTGCCAAACAGCAAGCTCACTGTTTAACACTTGATATCTCATTTGAGCCAGGCTAGCTGTTCCCCCTTGTTTCCAGTCTTTTATGCTAAGTTAAGCTTACTGTCTCCAGGCTGCAGCCTTATATTTAATATAGAGATATGAGAGTGGTGTCAAGTGTGTGTTTCTAACTTTATATTACGTCATCATATTTCAAATCCAGCTTCTTATCAATGCTTTATGGGCTAGAATAGGGGTAATGTTGTTTGACTTTTCACTTACTTTGCAGACAATCAGCATTGAGTAGATCTTGGCACTTCTCGTGGCATTTGACTCCACACTCGGTACAGCGCATGCCCTGGCGGGCAATGCCCCACAGCAGTCCCTCACACTCGTAGCAGTAAGTGGGCGTGGTGGCTGTCCACACCTCAAAATTGTGTGGCGTGGTGCAGGAGATGGGATAAATGAGGGCCTGGAGGGTCTTCTTGTAGACATGGCTCTTCTAACAAAGGGACAGGTGAGAGAAATGCAGGGTCAACAGAGTTTGCTGGAATGACTTTGGACTTGACGTGAGATACTTTGAATAAATATTGTAAACGAGCACTGACCAGTTCTTCGTTATGCAGGGTGCTGGACGTCAGGGCCGAGGTGATGCCAGCCTTCCTGGAGTTCTGAACCAAGGACTGAGTGAAAGGAAAGAGGAGGGGTCAGTTTCTCTCAGCTCCCACCACAATATCTTATTTATTTTTATCAAGACAAATCTCAGTGCAGCCTATGAAGCAATGCGTATTATTACTCTCTGTCTGGCAATCTTCCCCTGAATAGTTATAGCAAACTGGAGGTGACAGCTGCAGAATTTAAAGTGCTTCCTCTCATAAGAGCGATTATACCTTCATAAACCTAAGTGTTTTGAAAGGAAATGGTGTTGGTGTTACTCACCATAGCCTGTGGCAATGCAGTGAAGGTGGGAGGAACAAGGGAGAGATTTAATATTAGAAAAAGACAAGACAGAGAGGGGGGACATTTCCATAGAGAATTACAAATGTTGAGAAAGGATGCATTTATTGCGCATAAATATTGTATTTATTGATTAAACAAGAATGGGCATCCACAATAAAAACATGGGGGGGGGGGGGTCAAACAAGGTGTGAAGACTTTAAGGGCAAAGTCACAGCTGCAACCAGACTTGAGCATTTGATATGTGAATGAAATAGCCTGCGATCACCGCTCATTAGGCCAGGACCACACACCCTGTCCGATCAATTACCGGAAACAGTCTGACAAGTTGTGAGTGTGTTCGCATGCCCGGAAGCAAGAGACAGAGCGAGGTATAGACAAAGATCAGTGCACCTGCCTGTGACTGTCTGTCAGTGCGTAGTCACTATGACTTTGAGACGGCAAGAAGTATTAATGAAGACAGCATCTGAGCTAATTACTTGTGTGTGGTGACGCTTGGATCTGGCGTGGTTAGGAAAACAGCACACTGATCATTACCTGGCAGACAGTTAATATAAAGAGCCAAATGTCTATGCCACCCCATAATTTAGTGATATAATGTACTTAAGCACTGAATAAGTATTATTGGGTTTATCATAATTACTTATGTGTGTAATTAGTCTTTTGGAGAACCAAACCTATTGAGGTGTTAAATGGACTGCATGTATAGCGGTTTTCTAATCTTAGTGACCACTCAAAGCACTTTGCAACACAAATCCGCATTCTCCCAATGCTAATTTGCTTTCTTGTTGAGAGAAAACCGAAACCTCTCTTCTATCCGTTAAATGTAATTTTATAGCCTGCTGCCAGTTAGCTTAGCTTAGCACAAAGACTGGAAACAGGGGGAGACAGCTAGTCTGGCTACGTCTGAATGTAATAAAATCCGCCTATCAGCAGATCTATAACTCACTAATTAATATGTTGTATTTAATTAATTTGAAAATGACAAGTTGCAACAGGTTGGAAGCTGTTTCCAGACTTGCGGCTGCTCGATCAATCAATCTTCTAACCCTGAAATGTTAAACTACTTCTTTATGGTTTGCTTTCATTTGTCTTTCTAAAAAGCTGAATCATGATACTGTGTGTGTCTATCCCAGCCTGGTCTCCTAAATATTACGTTGCCACACAATGAAACTGTACTTAAAATTACGTGTCGAGTGAAACATATTTTCTCCTGTTTTTTTTTTGCATATCACAAATACGTGGGGAGGATGTTGGGATGGATGGGTCAAACAAACACAGGACGTTCATCCTGGAGGTCTATCCATATTCTGATTGTATTCATAACTGCAAGTAATATAAGACATTTTAACAAAAGCAGAAATGTGATAATGCTGACCAGACTGTGTCAGAAATATAAATCCTTGGGGAGAAAACTAACTGTCTTATTCCTAACAAGGCAATGTCAGGGAGACATGGGGACGATGGCAGCATTAGGTAATGAAATGGTCCGTTATATGCCAGCACCTAGCAAACATCAGTATCAGTCAAAGGAAACCTCTGGCCTTGCCAGTGGGCCCTTAGCCCTGCAGATCGCCCTGTCAGGCTGTAACAGGAGGGAAATGTACCGTCTGGTAGCAGATGAGGATGTAATGCAGTGTGGTAAGAGACAGTAAGGAAGAAAAGATGAAGAAAATAAATCAATGAGGTTAGAGAATTAGATGAGAAAGGACTTCTGAGAATTAGACGGAAAACAGAAGCAGGTTTAATATATGAGCGCTCTCACTGCTGAGCAGAGTGGTAAATGGACTGGGAAGATGTGATACACTTAGTCAGGGGAATTTTAAGAGATTAGTGCAGAAACTCACCAGATCTCTGACGAGAGGCATAGCTTTCCTCTTCCTGAGGTCTGGCATACTGTCAATGCTATACAGAGCGCCACCCATCCTGTAAAACATGCACAGAGCAGCATTCAACAGTTCAGCTACAGTTGCTAACAAGAACATGGACACGACAAATCAATTATACATAAATACATGCAGACATTAAGCCATCGGCTTGCCTTTACGGTTGGTGAGTTATAGATTTTCCATGATCTTTGTGGTAACAGTGTCATGGTTACTTACCCTGCTGATAAAAGCAGAGAGGCTATGCCAACACTTTCTCCTCGGGCCTGAGGAGAAGGAGAGAAATGAGATGAGGCAGAGAGGCAAGCATTAGAGCTGTGGCTGGAAAAATGGGAAGCATGCTGTAGTATATAGTGCTTGTAAACACTGACAACAGCAAAATCAAGAGATACTGTTTGGTGTTCCTTAGCAAAAAGCACCGTTTCATGTCAAGTTTCACTAGTAACTGTGGCCACAAGTGTTCCCAAAATTCACAAATGAGTAATACAACGGTGGTACAAGTGGGATATAGAAAGAAAAAGGGGGAGATGAGGAGATGATCAACACACTCACTTAGGAAGACAAAACTCAGCTTTACCACATCAGCAGTGGCGTCTCTGTGTTTGAGAATCATAGTACATAAAAGTAGATTACAGCCAGATTGAGGTCCGTGTAATCACTCCTCTAATTCTATCTGCTATGTTCTTTGTCTGCCTGCCTGCTCAAAGAATGACACACATCATTGGTACTCACGTCACGCTGACGGACAGAAATAGTCATAATTGGCATAAACGCCAGGCATTAAAAATGACACTTAGCAGGCTTGCAGCATCTTCCTATGTGTTGCTTGGCTCGCCTTAAATATCTATGAGCTGCACGGACACATGAAATATAAATTAGATTGATTAACACATCACTGGCCACACCCACCTGAGTGTCTGCTCCAGCCATGGGTAATCAGAATGGACAACATGCAAATCGCTACGAGGATGGCAAACAACTGAAAAGACAATAATGAAATGGCAAAACAGTACAAGGGGTAAACAGAAACTATCGATTAAACACAAGACAATATAATCCACAGCAGTAACCAAAACAATGGGAAAAACATGGTGTCAACAAAAGCTGGAACAAAACACAGCAACAGTAGAACATGCAGGGACTGATGCAACAAGTCAGTGAGCTCAAATAGTAGACTTATGAACATTTACCTGGCACGGATGCACACCTATGCACACTAAGAAACATACACATGCAGGTTGTACCTCTTGCAGCTGCAGTCGTACTCTGCTGAAAAGCCGAAGCCAGTTGGCTTTTGCTCTGGCATGACCGGGTTGCATGATTTCCCTCTTTGGGAAGCTGAAAGAATGTTGAGGAAAAACGTTATTCATATATTATATGTGCTCTCTGTTAACTGCCAGGTAAACGTCTTTGTACCAAAATGTAGCTGCCTTAGTGTTTACAGTGAGTGAAAGCCTATTTTTCCTCTATGAAGCTGACGGTGTATGAACAGTGTTCACCTTGAAACAGGTGGCTCCTCTGCTCTCTCTTCAGGAGCTGGAGGGACACTCTCTGCCACTGGAGGCTGCTTGGGAGGTCGAGGTTCCTCCAGCGGCACCTCAGAAATGGGTTCAGGCCCCAGGAGCTCAGTGCCTGGAGCTGGGACCTGCAATGCCGTCGTTGGGGTGGATGTAGTGGCGGTTGAGAGTGCTGGCTGGGTGAGTGCGAATGGAGGCTTGGTGGATTCTGCACTGAAAGGGGGCAACGTATCGTCCTGTTTGACTGGAGGTAGACTGGGAGCTGTGCTGGGGGGCTGGAGCTGATCATGGGCTGGCCGCTGCTGATGCAACGTCGCCTGCTTCTCCAGCGGTGGCCTGGCGGAGGACAGACCATCAGTGGGGGGCATCAGGGTGGGGGCAGCGCTCGTGGGTGTTGGGGTGTAGGGTGGCTCCTGGTCTTCGCTGAGAGTGCCATCAAGTGGATACATTTCTTCTCCTTCCTCAAAAGGTATCTCCTCCTCATCCTCGTAGTTGTACTCGCCTCCCTCCACGTATATGTCGCCCTCTCCTTCGGCATACAGCGCCCCCTCTTCCCCTCCGTCTTTGAGGTAGCCGCCCTCGTCGCTGTAGACACCTTGGGGGTCCTCACCATCCCAGCCTGGGGAATCCTCTTTGCCGTAGCTGACGGAGGAGTGGCAGGAGTGGTAGGAGTCGTTTTCCTCGTAGAACTCCGACCCTCGCAAGCTCTCGCCATCCCTGGCGACAAACTCCTCGCTGAGCTGAGAGCTGCCTCGACTCAACTCGCCCGACGAGGCGTAACGACTGTCGGTGGGACTGAGGGGAGGGGGAGATACAGACACCCGTTACATAAACACACCCACACAGGTTCAAACGAAAACTTTCCACACTTGCACAATGAGGAGTTTGGCTTTCACAGTGACACTTAAGGAACTTGTGTTGGGGCCAGGGAGGGAGACAGCTAACCAATTGGAACAGAGGAGTGTCTTTATCCAACCAATGAGACAAATCAGGAGGGGGTTTGGGCTAGTGATGCATCTATGTAACTACAAGGAGAGTCATCCTTTTAGTAATGGGTTAATACAGCAACACACGGCATACAAAAGCACAAGATTAGCAAAAACACAAGAACACATTTTTCATGAATCAGAGATATAAATAGACCTATTCAGTGAACCTGGAGAGACTGAGGGTAATTTATTACCCTGGCAGAACAAAACCAGTCTCTCTTTGCAGATAAATAAGTTAATAATATTTATTTACGATGATAAATGAGGCTATTAGGCATTGAGGCAGACTATGAGTCAGAGAGAGATTTGAGACGCATGCAAAAACAATTTCACACACACACACACACACACACACACACACACACACACACACACACACACACACACTATTGTTTTGTTTCTATTGATTACAGTCATGTTGGTTCAATAACGCATGATGCAGGAGCAGTAAAGGAGAGAACTGTATAATGGCTTTTGGCTGTGAGCCAGAGGGAATACACAAGTATCGATGAACGGACAAATAAACAATCACAATGACGACACTCCTGTTCTTTTCTATTCATCACCTATCTCACGATCTCTCTCTCGTCCAACACAAAGACTGACACAGACAGTGACAAATGCTTGCATAATGTTTGCGTCTACGCACATGTCTGCCCTCTTTCTTAGCAAAGAACAAAAAAACATGATGAAATGAGGAAGACAATGTACGTAATCTGTCTTGGCCTCTCTGCTGCCCCATTATTAGGCTGACTGCCTCCTGCTGTCTTGGTGGAAACAAGTGGGAATTAAACGTGTAGAATTAACAAGTATGGGACACCCAGAACAAGACAGGGCTCTTCTTAAGGTCTCACATTCAGGATGAGGCTGTAATAATAGGCTGCCGCGACAACAGATTCTCACACACACACACACACACATGCGTATTCACACAGGCTCTTACACAAACTCCGACAATTAACCTCTCTGTCTCTGACTGTTATGAGACGACACGCACATACACAGACACACACAACTCGTCAATCACTCACCCACACACAAAAACACAAAACTGCGCAAAACTCATAAGAGTCCAACAAAGGCGAAGATGAGAGTGATACATCATTTGTGATACGGATTTGTGATTGTTCACCAGGAGGAACACAGTAGATATAGATGCAGGAGCAGTAGTTTTCAATAAAATAGTAGAGAATATACATATACAGAGATAGGGTAAGAGCGCATGCATGCAAGCACAGCGAGCGAGGAGGACGGGACAAGTCCACCACTGACGTCACAGCGAGACGGAGTCACAGGCCGGAGCAAGAGAAGGAAGAGGAGAAGAAGTTGGAGACGAGGTACAGAGACCCACCTATCGGACAGTGAATGCCTACTGTCTAGAGAATACTGACGACTGGTGCGCCGGCTCGACCCTGAGCCTGAGTCGATATCGCTGCGCCCGTTGGTGGCCGAGTCTAAACTACCATAGAGTCTGGTCAGAGGAGTAAGGAGGGAGGTAGGGGGAGAGGGAAGAGGTGGGAGAGGAGCATCAGTGGAGCTCAGTGCAAATCTTTCAAAGAAAGTTCTAACCAAACTGAGCCTCTGCACGACCCGGTTACAGGTTGGGGTTCACAGTTTTTCAAGCTCGTCTTAAAATAACAGTCAGGTGTAAATATGATGAGGCAATTTTTGCTTGCTGTAATTATTCCTTCTGTTCATACTGGCCATTAAAAGATCCCTTCCCGTTGTGCTCACGATGTAAATAATAGGGTAAAACAGTTCTGTACCAAAATGTCTTCCAAAGTTTATCTGAAGGTAATACAAGGCTTAAGCAGTGCGTTATTTAAGTCTATATATCTGTTGTCTTTGTATTACTGTCCCTCTCCAGCTCAGTAAGGGAACACAGACACAAAGAGTGCATTTTGTATTAAAAACTAACTTTGGAACGTACCACCTCATCATTTAAATTAAACTCAAATTATGAATTTACCCTTCTTCACACAGACACTTGAAGATGGATTTTACTCATCTGAATCTAACCAAATGAAAAGGTCAAACTTTCAGCTTTTTTTTAGAGCATTGCATGACTTCTAATCATCCGACACCTTTAAAAAGAAAAGTTCAAAATATATTTCAGAAATACTGTTATTTTCTGCACAAAATGGTGCAGAGGAGGTCACATGGGGTTTCTGATGCTCACACACTCAACGTGCACACACGCATTCACACATGCACACGAAAGATAACCACAAAGGCCCACTTCATACTGTACATGACCTGTATACAAGAACAGTGCTGCCCCAGCGTGCTTGTATACACTGAGGCCAGGGTTATTCTCTAAAAGAGGAGAGCACAGTGGGACAACATGTTACCATGTACAATACAGTGAAACAAAACAAGGCCACAGGGACTGAGCTGTCTCAGGGTTAAACGTTATTCTTCAAATAGGAATATCTGCTTAAGATGGGGAGTGTGATATTACAATTTTTATATTAAACATTCGTCTTTTGGTGTTCTTCTCTTTCTGTCTCATCCAAAACAAACCCTTTATCCCTGTTGTTTATCCATTATGACATCCAGCCATTGTAATCTCATGAAAAGGAAACCACTCAGTTGTGGCTACGACGTGCCTGCAGGTGCTCGTTACCTCATGGCTCCGTGGTCGTAGTTCAGCTCATGGATGTCTTCGTTGTAGGATTGTATGTACTGCTCCTGCCTCATGGGATACTGGTGCATGGAGGCGTTGGGCTGCGAGGTGGTGTAGTAGGGAGGCGGGATGCTGTTACTGGTCTCGCTGCGGTAGTCGCTGTCCCTGTCCTCCACGGCGCTGTCTTGATCCTCGTCTGTTCACACGAACACAGCAGGAGACGAGAAGAGGACGACGGGTCAGAATTGTATTACACAGTATTTTTGTATGGTGCACGTGTGTGCGCAATGATGTGACAAAAAAACAAACAAACACAAGATTAATAGAGCAAATTAAAAAGTATGCTAAAATGTTTATATATTTTCCAAAAAAATGTATGTTTTTATGTTGTAATATATTTTTAGTTTAATTTATACATTAGATACCTGATACTTTCTGATTGATAATTGTCGTATTTGCATCATTACGACAAAGACTATTATCTATTTTACTATCTCATAGTCCACAGTGGAAATTACGCTCTTGAAAAAACTCATATGCATCTTCACCAAACACCACAGAGATTAATTTACTATAACTTCACTGAATCTAATTCTACCAGATTGACTTTAAATCCATTAGGATAATATAGATTTGAGCTGAAAGGAAGTGCAGAGAGGTTCAGAGAGATATTTGCATGGCAGCTTACGAAAACTACACAAGGAGATCATTACATTAAGTGAGACATGGACAATAAATACAGACTTACTCTAAGTCATTAGCAGAAACGCATGGAAGAAACTTACTTTGTTGATCTCCCCACAGACTCCAATTACCTGCAAGGAGATAAAGCATTGGGGAAACCAAATTAGGTTTGGGCGACAAATTAAACACATCAACAGTCCACAAAGTCAGGTAAACAAACATGCACAGCCCTGATAAATCCTTATTTAAAGATGTAAGTATGTGTGCAAAGGGATCTCAAGTCAGTGTGTGTGTACATGTGTGTGAGTAAAGAAACACACAAGGTCTTTAGAGAAGCTTAGATCAAAATAAGCTTTTGTACAGATGCTGCTGGCCTTGGTGCTGCTAAGTAAGTAAGAACAGATAAAACACACATGCTGTTATCATCTCCGCACACACAGGCGTCGTGCCACCATCCAACCCGTCTGTCCACGGATTTATACAATACACACTTGCTCCGTGTGTCATCATCACTCAGACAGACAGACAGACAGACAGGATGTTATGTGTCTGACAACCAATCATATGTCCATTCACATTCATCATACATCTAGCACCTATAAGTCATTCTACTCGTGATCGGTCTCATCAGCTTTCCTCCCTCCACCCTCCATCCTTCTTCTCTCAGCCTCATTTCTACCTCCCGTCTAGTCTCGTTCTCAGTGCGAAGGAGCAGAGGGGGTGAGGAAGAAAAAAAACGGAACAGGAGGAGGCGGATGTAGAATTGACACTCACAGCACTGTGTGGTTGGTGCGTGGAGAGGTCGCTCCTGTTCTTCTTGATCGGCATACTGAGAGGGGAAAAAAACAACAACACACATTTTAGAAAGTAAGATCCAGCACTTCTTCTGAGGAAAATCGCTGGTAAGAATATCGACTCTGTAATTCTGCTGTTATTGGCAGCCATGGAGTGTAATTAGAGAGAAATGAAGAGGAAACACTGAGTAGGAGAGGGATCATGAAAGAAAATAGGATAAAAAGGAAATATAATAAATAAGAAAATATAGATGGCAGATGGTGCAGAGAGATGGGACTGCGGAAGAGATTGAAGTTCTTACATCTTGATCCCTCATGGCATTTAGTTGTTCAAGTTTCTTGGCCCAGTATCTCGCCTCTTCCTCGGGAATGTCTGCAGCACACAACACAACCACGTTACTCTACTCAGCACATCAAATAGATATCTTTCTGAGCAATAATCTATAAGCACTGGAATAGAACCAAAGAGCAATCCAATTGATTTCTTTCAACATTATGGCAATAGTATTCGATAGTAATGGATTTACAACGCAATATCAATTAAAAGCACTCAATGCAGTGTTAGTACATTAGCGGATGCAGTAGCAGCAACAGCACTAGTACTCCTAGTGAATATCAAAGTGGTTGAGACATCAACTGCTTGTTGTAGTAACAGTTCTAATTCAAGCAACAGTGTTAAATGTTATCTTGCCGTTCTATTACATTTCATTGAAACATAGCCATATATCTAAAATGTAGCACGTATAAATGAAACAAGTTACAGAATAAAGCACAAGGTAGGATAAGCACGACTACGATGAGAGGACAAACCTAGTGGCAGTTCAAAGCGGGTGTCGAGCAGCAGCCTGTGAAAGGTCGGGTCTTTGGTTCCACAGATCTCATTCTCAGCCATGATCGCATTGGAGTCCAGAGTCAGCCACTGACCTGGACCCTCCTGGAAAAGATCGAGGAGCAGAGAAATATGGCTTCAGCTATACGTACTGCATGATACAAATATGCTGTTTTTCCTACTATGATGAGTCCAAATATCTGCGGTGAAAATGGTCTATTAGTGAGCTTTAGAGGTGCTGGTAGACATGTCTTTTTTTGTAAACAATGTCTATTAGTTTTCTACAAACAATATCCCCCATTTCCCCACCTCAATTCCCCAGACCAGAGAATAAATTACATTAACATATTAACACCAACAAAACAAAAACAAACCAGGTGTCATAAACTCACACACAAAAACTAAAGAGTAGCAACAACACAACAGTACCAAAATAAATACACAAACAAAAAATAAAAATACATCAAAATGAGTCCTAAACTCTAGGTAGTACTCTCAACATCATTGCTTGCTCAAAGGTGATTCTTATGTATATTATTTAAGGAAATTATAAGATTGTTGCCTTATGTGTATAAAGTGTACAATGTATTATGTAGAATGTATAAAAAGGTTTCCAGATTTCCTCAACACATTTTGTCTATTTCTAAATGTGTATGTTATCTTCTTAGATGATGACATTTTGTTAATAAATTCTTTTTTTTTTCTTCCAATAACAATCAATAAGCTAACTAAAGTGTATATATATCTATATATATCTATATATATAGATATATATATAGATATATATACACACGCACAATTTCTGTGTTTTTGAGTGGCCATGACTGAAAGAGTATAAAGGAACTATGTCATGGCAGCAACACCACAGGCCAAGTATTTTGGCCCGTTCTGAACAGGCACGTTATGAACGGGCACTGCACTTGTAAAACCTAATGCTGGGAGCCAGAGAGAGGAAGAGAGAGAGAGTGCGTACCTCATTGGACTGCCGTATGTCGCTCAGGGGGATCCATAAGGTGCCCACCATGGTGTCCCAGATTAGCCCTTTATTCCACACCTCCACTGTGAGGCCCAGATCCAGGCGGTTTATTTCACTGATCGGCAGAAAGAGGAAGAGGTAGATTAAGAAAAAGAGAAATTAGTTCGGAAAAAGGTGTGAGGAAGAGAGTGAAATAATACAGAACGTAAGAAAAAGCCGAGTGGAGACAGGCTTGTATAACGACACCTCACTGCACAGAGGGCTTTCAACAGAAACAGTCTATGTCATCGGGAGCTGCACTTAAATCTGGAGATGGATATGCACTGGGATTCAATCTGCAGAGCGAAATGAGTCACTCCTCATGAAGATGGAAATAGTAGGTGATTGTCAACTAGGCTGCTGGCAGGATAGAAGAGAGAGCCCAGATAGGACAACAGCAGAGACTACAGCAGAGACTAGATGAGTAACGATCAGTGAACTCATCGTTACTCATCTTTCCATCAAACAACGCTGATATACAGCAAATATAACTAGGATTTGTAAAGTGATTACAAATCTGACTGGCAGATTATCAGATCACTAAGCATCTCTTATTGTCAGGCAGTGCGCTTCCCCGAGCCCACCGGCTGTCTTAATTGAAAACCTAATAATAACCAGCTTTGATATGTAAACACATCGTTCTGTTTCCTTGGAAAGTGGAGGAGGTAATCTGGCAAAAGACTGAATGTTGGGAAAGCGGAAAGAAATTGAGAGGAAAGGAGCAGGAGGAAGCGAGTGATCTAAAGTGAAGGTGTGTGTGTGTGTGTGTGTGTGTAAGGGGGGGCTGTTCTTTAGTTTAGTTTAAAGATATAGCTTAAGTAGATTAAACATAAAAGTAGTATCTGTTGTGTTTAGCTTTTCTTCCATTAAGTCAATTTTCTGGTGCCGTGTAATGAAGCTCAGAGAAACCCTCTCCACTGGGTGAGGTGGAAAGGGAGCAGGAGCAGGTGTTAGGTCATCCTCTCACTCTTCAGAGGAGGAGAGAGCGGAAGCAAGAAGAAGACAGCAAAAATAACTCCCTTTAGGAAGTATAACTGTCACAGCTGACCCTGCTGCACAACATCTGTGTGACAGTACTCACTCCTTATGCCTATATTGAAACTACTTATTATTACTATTGATTTGCATCTGACAACTGATATTAACGTGTAGATTTTTTTTTTTAGAACTATGTCAACTAAATTCACAACCATAATTGCAACAGCAAACATATTGCATTCTCGAAATACGTCCAAGTGGACATACTTTAATGTCTGGCATTAAAGCCCATTGAAAGTTCTCCTCTTTAAGAGTAAAAAGACAAGTTCAAACTAAAAAGCTACTGTGCCAGCAAAGCCAGAGCTTAATACACAAAAGAGAACTCCATGCTAGTAGCAGCTAATGTAGCCTCGAGCCGCTAGCCTCAAGCAGAGATGAGGAGCTCAGATTTGTTTTTTATTTTCAAACTTGAAGTCTTCAGCCCCAGCTGACGCCGACTCGAGTGACATCACGCGAGGCAATTCATCCGATTTCATTCAGCTCCCTCTGGGGCCACAAAAGACTTTATACAACCTGTTTCGCATATGCAGTAGTACTCCCTCAGGGCCTGATAACAGACATTCATGTGTATATCACGACTCTTGGCTTATCTGACACCTCCTTTGATTAATCTAATGCCGCCTTTCTTGGTCACATAAACTTAAATATGTACAGTTATGAGCCTCTCTGTAAAAAGAGAAGGCTCATTGCACTAACGGTGCTATTTAAAGGAGAAGGCAGTGAGGGGAGAAAGCGAGAGAGGAGGATGACTAGTTGGTGTGAAAAGTAGGGAATGTAGTATGAAATAAGAGTCGAAATTGTGCAGCAAAGTCTGTCCCCCAATTAAGCAACGTACAGGCTGATTTACAGAAGAGGACTGAGGCTAAAAATAAGGAAAAGCCTGGTGAGATAAAAGAGGGCAGAAGATGTGAGAGAGCAAAAGAAGCACTCACAACATGAAGTCCTGCTCCCAGCACGGCTGAATGCCGCGCACAGCGATGGTTGTGCTCTTAACATTCTGCACCTTCAGGGTCACGTATGTGTTAAATTTCTCTGTAAAAAGTAGAATACAAATACCATTGGTCATGATACTGTGTGTGTTTATAGGAAACATTCTGATTCAGTGAAAAAAAGCAACTAATGGATGAACTCACCTTGGGGTCCATCGAGCTTGGCTTTCTTCACTGCAAACAAATTGAGAATACAAACAAGAAATTCGGGGAAAAATGAGCTGTAATATCAAAATCAATAAAGTTTTCAAAGATTTCACATTTTCATGCTGCAAATATAACATTCAGTGAATCCTCAAAGGCTTTTCTCAGGCCTTTGCTTACAGCGTGATGTGACTTTAACCTACAGTCCAGGCAGACCTCTGCATCTAGCATGAATGTAAAGCTGGTGATTGACAGGAGCCTGGCATTTTTAAAAAGGGGGGGGGGGCTGCTCTTCTCAGTCTAGGACTCCTCTTTCCTCTCTGGACAGAATGCCAGGATCTCAATATGAAAGCCTGCATCCGTTCAGCAGGAGATGTCAGGATCTCTGAGTCACTGGGCCAGTAGGACAGTTTGTGGAGGCGAGAGTAAAAGCTGATGCCAGGGAGGAGAGTGGCCACATACCTCGTCCTCTCTGAATGATGTATGTGCATGTATTCCTGGATGGGTGACAGCAGGGGGTGGTGGATAAAAGATGGAGCAGTGCTGCTTTTCTGCCTAGCACAATAGAAGTGGCTCTGCTGAGGTGCCACTGCCGGCTCCTCCATGCAGGGACCTCTGGAGGTACCAAACTGACTTATAAAACCACAGTGACGTCAACAGTCTATTCATTATTCATTCAATCCGGCACCCTGTCGATGCCCAGCATCCCCATGTTCAGCAGTGAGGTATTAATATTCAGAGCTATGGGTGGTTTTCTTTCTTTTCTTTTTTTTTATCCCTGCTGATTGCCTCTTTTCACTGATGTAACATTCCAGGAAAGAAATACGGGGAATAAGCATACTTTAAAATCTAAATGGACCTTAACAGCAAGCCCTTAAAAAAATGATCTGTCATGTTAGCATGTTTTCGCTTGGCTGCGAGAAGAATAGGTTTATAATGTATGACCTACAGTCTGACTCTCTGAAACAAAAAGAACTAAATAAATAAAGACTCCCTGTTATTCAATCAAGAAACGCCTAAACATTAGGGTAGCAGAAGTGATGCTGACAAAGAAACACACTCTGAGTCACTTCCTTAGTCAGTGGCAGCCGAACAAGCATGATAATCGTTGTGGACAAATTGGCTTCTAAAAATAGCGTCACCCCAGCAAACCCTTGGGATAATGCTTATTGCTTAAATATCGGTGTGATTCATGAGGCAGGTGGCGGACCAAGTGGTTCGTAGCCCAAATTTAAAAGTAAAATCCACATCCTGATACTTCAGCTGCTGATGAGGCAGCCACATCTCAGTGGTAAGGAAGAATATTTTCCATGGAAGCCCAGAATAAAGACTTGTTGTCAACGCTCTCCCTCTGTCTCATACACTGTCCTCTCCTCCCCATCAACCAGTCATCGGTCCTCTCACTCAATCACTCGCTCCTACTAGCTCCTCCTGCCATGTGGCGAGTATGCACGTGTGCTTCCTTTCTATCTCTTTCTCTTGTGCTCCATTAATCTATCTGTGCAGCCGGATGCGGGCAGAGCGAGCTGCACCCCCAACACTAAAAATAACCACTTCAGTGTGACAGGGGTGGGAGTGCCATAATGGGGAGTGTGTGTGTGGGTGTGGGTGTATGTGTGTGTGTTGGGAAGGGGTGCTTACAGCTCACAGGCATAAGACTAAACCACCACTGCTGCAGTTACTAAACACGGGAACGAATGAAAGAAAGTAGGTGAAAAGGAGTTACATATTTTCTGCAAACCCTCAAACCAATGTTGAGTCCCTGCCACAGCAATTACAGAATCTCATTTTCTCTTTCTTTGCTGGGGAAAATTGGACAAATACATTCACTCACGCCCCAGTGCAGACGACCTAAAGGGGCTTTTTTGATTTCCTGAGGTTTTCCAATCAAAAGCTTTCAAAGAGCCCACACTTCAGAGGACACTGACACCAGGAACAACAATACAAACCGGCAGACAGGGAACACAGTGAGGAAAAAACCTAAAGATGATGACAAAGAAAGGAGAAATGACTCAAGTGCAGAATTAAGAAAAACTGTTACACTGAGATTACTGTGATTATTATTACAGCGTGTGTTTGTGTCCTCTGCCAGTTAACAATCGAGTCCCACACCTGCAGTGTACCTTGGGGAATATATCAACGTTGATCAGAGTATGACTGCTTTAAAAATAGGTGCAAAATATTAAGACTTTAAGCTTTTAGAGAATATAGTATATAAACAGTATGTAGCCTTGGAATCATTCAAAGCAGAATATGAATACTACAGTGCTGTATATATCTCCATTCATACACGATTGATCTCCCCAGTACCCGTAGTCATTACTACAGTAACACAGCAATGTGTTTGAAATGGTAATAAGATAGAGAACTAGCCAAGGACGGGTTGTTGCTAAATTATATTCATCGCTGATGTTGGACTTTCTGCATTCATATGTAAATAGATGTTTGGATAATGCCTCAATGAGAGGAAGGTGACACTAATGAGGATGTCTCTCGCGGCTCACTCTGTTGTAAAGTTATCATGCTTGAATTGGCGTCTCGCTACAGGAGGTGACAGTAAGAGGAAGGCTGCCAGAGCTGAATGCGCATATTCAGCTTCTGTGGCACAGGCCATTAGCTCAAACAGTACATCCAACATCACGGGACATGGAAGTAGAGTAAACGCACACACATCAGTGCCCACTGCAGCGTTTATCAGCCCAACTCATGTTACCGTGCAGCATTTCTTCATTCTACTAACAGCCACCATGAAAAGAAGATACCATCAATATAAACCTAGCTGCAGGAATATAACAGAGAGCGTAGAATCTAATGAGAGATGCCAGCAGAGACCTAAAATACATTGGGGTTGCTATGCCAACAAAGCCTCAGGACAGGGACCACCAACGAGCCTGGATTTCAATCCTGACAGCTGTGCAATCAGCTCTAGCACTGGTGTCAACAACACAGCAGCCTCTTCATACACACTACAAGCCTGCTACAACCTCTCAGAGAATCTGCAGGCCAAGTTTGAAGCAGTCACTTTTACATCTTTCCTTCACTGCTCCCTTAGAAATCAGGCAGTGTATTCATCAAGTGTCTCAGGGGAGAGAATGAGACCAAACTGACCCAAAATATTCAGACTGCAGGTGCAAACGCGCTCCCAGTGGAAGGCTCAGGGGTTATTAATGAGTTGTTATTAACTGTGCAACTTGAGAAACGGATGATTTAAGAGAGCTGGAGATCTTTAAACTCAAACAGTTTTACATATTGTTATGCATCAAAATGTTGTCTCTTCATAAATCTGTCAGTCTTTTTTTTAAATGTGTTGAATGAATGCTGACACGACATGAATTGATTTTAAGGTTGTGAGTGTTGTAAAACACAAGGAGAACTTCTCCTTGTTAAGAGGCAGTGTAAAAAGCATTAATTAGTTACTCTAACAAGGGGGGGGGGGGTTAATCCTAATGAAACTTTAAGTATTATTCTGGGATCTGGGGTTGACCAGAGGTTATTGAGAAAGTTACATGGGATCATAATATTTCACTCGGGAGACTCAATCTGCACAATCTCGTATCCATCCCGTTTGCTCTTGCACAGTAATGCACTTTAATTTAAATCTGACAGCAATAAGACTCAGATCAGGTTAATGGGAAGAAATAAAGTCTTGGACCTCCTGATACAAAATGTTCCACAACTTCACCAATAAAAACAAATATAATTTTACATTTTAGAAATCACCACATTATGGTTTAAACGTCATTATTACAGTGACTGAATGCCATTTAAGTATTTAGGACTGATTCAACGACAATCCCTTACATGTAAAACATACAAAGTCTCTTCCGGCTATATTTGTTTCTCTGGAAAAATAAGTCACAGTCATCATCATTGGCTTCATCCATCAAAGGACAAACAGCAACTGAAGGAAGATATAATAATATAATACAGTTTAATGTGATGAGTCTGCTTATACAGTAGAAAAACAATTTGGACCCCCATTGGGGAAATCTGAAATTATTCAAAGACGGAAATAAATCAAAAGAAGAAATTTCATTATAGAATGCTGCAACCAATCATGTGGCTTAAAGAAACATCCTACTGTAAGTATAACCGGTAGTCTGCCGCACACGCCTTTTTTATATTTTGGTCCGCGCAATTACGCATGAAAACTGAGATCCACAGTTCAGTTAAAACGTTCGGTTTCTTTCTTTTTTTCTACATGAAACAAATAACACCTCGCGATTATTTTACGGGGATGGGGGCGCAACTGAGAGTGGGTTACATCTTGTTTTACTATGTTTGACAGCGGCCGCCAGAAAGCATACACCTACTCCATAAATCGATCCGGTTGTAGCAATGGCAGGTTTTGTATAAAATGAGCCCAGACAGTCACCCAGTAGGAGCGAAATAGGTCAGGTTAAGTAAATGTCAAAAAAAATACATAGATTAGAAATATGCAGTGTTCGCCTTATTGATGAGATTTGCATTAACCTGACAATTAATAGTGTGGCAAATTAAAAATAAACGTTCCTGTGTAAGATGGCTATTCTTAAAATATTGATGAAGGCTCGTTATTCTAACAGGTGAATCCCCAAAAGCAGTAAAGAGAAGACTTGGTGATATTTAAGCCGCTCACACCAGCAGGTCGAGGAAATGCACAGCAAGACATGGACATGTTCTCTTACCTCCAACACACAGCAATGACATTTCTTATATGCGCCTTTAGTACAGGGTCCAGCTTCTTCACCCGCTTCCGTTATCGAGCGAATAATCTGTGCACAATATACAGCCTGGGAGGGAATCGTTGGGCTTGGAGGTGGAGAAGCCTGCCGTCGCTGACAGAGACGGGGCCTGGCAGCGCTCGTTACGCCGGACAAAAATAAAATAAAATCTTCACACTTCGAGAGTGAACGCCAGCGTCGCAATCCCCCGTCTTCTTCTTTTTGTTTTAATGGCGTGTCTCTCTAAATTTGAGACTCTTTCCCACCCCCCTTCTGTCTCAGCTCTCCGCTCGCCAACACACAGCCATCTTGTTCAGCTTCAGCACCGCCGCTGCGTGGACAGCTCCTGCCAGTGACGTCAGGGCGGTGCTGATGGCGTGAAAAGGGGGTGGAGATGTCGTAACGCCTGATTATTAGCCTCTCCCTCTGGATCTTCAACATGTTTTGTCAAAAAACATCTTAGGAAATCCTCAAATAATGACACACTAGCAACACTGTGAAAACTATTGTAATGATTGATTTTGTCAATATTACTTAGCACCAATTAGTCAGTTAAAGGACTTCACTGATAAGAGTCAGTTATAGGGGAAAGGTATGGAGCACTTCATACTGCTCCTCTTCAGCAGAATTTCACCTGGAGAGCATGTTTTACAAGATTTAAGATGAACATGATGAGGGACACGAACCGTAACGAGGTGATTTAGATGAGCGATAGTTGACTAGAAGCAGAAGATATACAGAACAAACAAAACAGATAATTCGTCACTAACTATTAATGGCCCTGCCTTGGTGAGACCGAGTCAGTCAGTGTGTTGCATATTCACCCCAGTTCATCCCATCTTAACCCTTTCAGTTGACACCAGACTGAGGTAGCCTTAAATAAAACTGTTCCAAGATTTAAGACTTTTTCCACTGTTGGCAAACAGCTCCCCCTGCTGGTTAAACAACATCCCTACAGACTCAGTTCCCCGAAAACAAACAAACACACACACACACACACACACACACACACACACACACACACACACA